AATTGCTGTTGTTGAGCCTTCTCTTAACTACATTTAACTCAATCTGAAAAGAACCACTCGGTTACACTCTGTGATCCACGAAATGTTTGGCGATGAGGATTGGAATTCGGGAAACAGAAGGGAAAAACTTCCTGATGTTCTGGAGACCTTCTGTGTTCCAGGGTGGAAAGTGGCAGACTCTGACTTTAGGTCTGTAGCTAATATGTCAGCACAATTAGGACCCCCGAAAGGATGGGGAATGGTTATGACGAGAGAAAAAGAGATAACTAGAGGCCAGGTTTCTGTGCTGTGAAAGTACACTGAACTTGGTAGAAGTGTTAACTCTTTGTGGTCTGGTTTGAATGCACCTTTGTTTGTTGGTTGCTAAATGTTTTCTTGTAAAACTTGTGGTTATTTTTTGTTCCCCGGAGCTCGAGATCTGGGGCTACTTTGAAGTTTTAGTTTGCATTTTGAAACATCTGGTGATTTGAAAGTGTGTTGTGTGCCTGTATCAGTGTGGGACATGTAGGCTAATATAGTGTCCTTTTAAGAAACCATCCATGGTTATGTTAAACAAAAGTCTGCAAAATGTTGATTCAAAAATTTGGTTTGTAAAGCTTGGTTAAAAAAATCTCCCTTTTAGAATTGGCTCTGTGTTGAGTTTGGGCTTGGATAAATTTTAATTCCAGAAATTACCATGTCTGGAATTTCATTTTCTGGTCAGAACTTCCAAATACTGTTTTAACACAAGTGAATCTTTAATTTCCAATTACAAGATTGATTCATTTCTAACATCCAACTGTAAGGGACATTGGAATGTTGAAAATGCAACTCCCTGTGTGCAAGGAGTTTTGGAAAGGCAAATTTAACGAAGCGATGGGCTTTACCTTCATTCAACGAAGCGGCGAGATGGATGACGTAATTTTGTGGAGTTTACATTCCACCCCCTTCTTTTTAAATCCATAGTAGATTAATACTAATTAACCCATTCTGCTTGATGTGGAATGGATAAAGCTTGTTTTTTTTTTTATATAAAAAAAGAAGGAAATTGGAGACACTGAAGTCCGAAACTATTTGCAGAATTTTAACGTCACAATCAACCCATCAAGCCATTCATCAATAACACATTTCAACGTTGGGGAAGTAACATGCAAATATTAATTGTAGCGAGTGTCAGGGATCTCAAAACCACTGAGCTTGGGTACACTTAAGCACATCATATCAAAAACTATATTAAGATTCACATGCCCTGGTATTCTAAAACATTTAAAATGGGAATGGTTACGTGAAGATTTAAAGAGATTATGGGAAATGATAAAGCTCATGCACACAATGTCAATGGTTTCAATGCATACAAAAATGGTTAGAGACTAAGCGAGTAAACAGAATATTGAATTTAGACAAATTTACATAGCGATATATCAAATATCTAGAATGAGTCATCAAGTCACTTAAAAAATGGGTCATCTTAGAGAAAGAACAAAGTATGTTGTGCCTGAATCAAACAGAAATGTTTGACTTCTGTTTTAAAATATTGTAAGATTATGTTCCATGGACTATAAATCTCTACAGATCTCTGAAATTAGATATGGCGATAATACTTAAGTAGCAAAATTGGATGAGAGGAAGTAATTAAGGGTGGAGACTGGTGGCAGAAGACAAAAAAAATAGAATAATGGGTTAAAGTGTCAATTCAGGTTAAAATGCATTTTAGTGAAAAGGTTTAGATGAAAGTCCAAACTGATGGTTTTCTCTTGGTGATGTTTGTGTCCTTGTCTTTCTTTTTAAAAGAAAGATTGAATTAGTGACTAGCTGAGGCATTGGGACCATACGTGGAGAGATAAGTGAAACCTCAGATCATTCGATTAGATCATGTGGGAGTCAAGAATGCATGACATGGTCTTGGGACACCGATGTAAGTGTGCAAAAGTGAATGTTACCATGGAGGTAACAAACATGAGATGGTAAAAACATGCACTGAAGAGCAGGTCTCAGATATGTACAACTACTTGACAAAAGGATTAGTGTGGCTTGGAAGTGCACAAAAACATAGTTTAAGCCTTAAGACACTGACACAAAATCCATAGAGAAACTGACTTTAAAACAATGAAAGTAGCATTAGTGAAAGGGATGTAAAAAGAATTACAATCAAAATAATAATTGTGATTGGCTATTATGTCAAAATGTTACAGAAATGAAACAGTGATGGAGGAGTAATGGTGAATTGAGAGAAAGGACCCATCAGATGACATACAGATACCCCATCTTGAGCATTTGTATGATGCATGTACTTCAGTGTTTATACCAGTAGGTGAAATTTTAATGTGTTAGGAAAGTTAGTGTCTGTGAAAGAAAGCTGAGCTAAGCCTCAGGTGGTGTAGGAGTCCGTGGTAAAGGAAGCCTGGGAAAAATAAAAGGCGGGAAGCACAAGTTGAAAGTAAAGCCTGATGATTGTTAGAACTGTATTGTTTGATACCATGTATATTGTAACTCAAAAGGGGGTACCTGTTTTGGAGGTAGTTATCACTCAATGATACAATCACTCATACAATTGGTAAGGTAGGAAACATATTGAAGTAGTATCTTCAAGATGGATACAGATAAGAAGAGCTGGAGAAATTTTGTAGAGGCTGGTGCAAATATGAAATGACCTACCAGAGGAAGTGGAGGAGGGTGGGGCAATTACAACATTTGAAACACATCTGGATGGTACATGAATAAGAAGTGTTTAAAGGGGCATGGGCAAATAGGGCTAGATTAATTTATGATAGCTGGTTGGCATGGATGGGTTGACCGAAGGGTCTGTGACCATGCTGTACAACTGTCTATAGACAAACAAACCAAAGGCATCCCTTACTTGATCCAAAGTGTATTTACACGCATTTCCGGCACCAAGAGGGTCCAATAATTGAACAGACCCCCCATTTAACTTTGGCACAAAGACCTCCGACAGTGGTCTTTCCCAACTGAGCCTTGGCAGTAGCTACCCCAAGCTTTAGTGCGTCCCTCAGCATGTTGTCCTGGACCTTGGAACGTGCCTGTCTACAACACCTTGTTCTGGAAAGCCAACAAGTTTTGGGCAGATAAAGACCTGTTTGCCATAAATCAGCAACATTTTGTAAGGGTTTAAGGTAAAAGGAGAAAGCTCTGAAAGGGACATAAAGGGCAACATTTAGTGCCTTCTCCTTTACCTTAAACCCTTACTAAAGGTCACTGATACTGTACCCATTATCAACACAAAAACAGAATTTGCTGTAAAAGCTCAGCAGGTCTGGCAGCATCTGTGGAGAGGGATCAGAGTTAAAGTTCCAGGTTGAATGAGCCTTCCTCAGGACAGTATCCATTACCTTGTTTAGGGCAGCAGACACCTCCTTCACAGCTGTGGTACTGTCTGTTAGACAGTCTCTGGAACCTCCTCCAGTCTAAAAACACAATGAACATGTGCACTCCTCCAATTACACTTGCGACATATTTTCCAAACTCCCTCTCAAACACAATAATCACCATTTTCAGCTGCTGAGGCCACAAGCTCTGGAATTCTCTTTTTAAACCCCTTTATCCTTCTTTAAGATACACAATATTAAAAAGACCTCTTGATTCAATGCTTCAATCATCTATGAAGCACTTTAGGATTACAAGTATCTGGAAGGCTCCATCTAAATGTAATTTGGTGCCTTACACTGAGCAGAACAGGAATATCACACAAGCTTTCTGTTCTCAGACCAGAAGGACCAATCATTTTCCAATTGGAACTTAAACTTAACAGACCGTTTGCATTCACTGGTCTACTTGCTGACTGTAAACCCAGTTGTAAAGGACCTTGTGTTCCGTGTCTAGGAGCAATGAACCACAGAGGAGAGTGGCTGGGACACATTCCTTGCCCACTTTAAAGGTGACCCTCACCCTCACTCCTGGAGAATCTGAGATAACAAGGTGTTGAGATGGATGAACACAGCAGGCCAAGCAGCAGAGGAACAGGAAAGCTGATGTTTCATGTCTACACCCTTCTTTGAAGGGGGGTCTAGACCCAAAACATCAGCTTGCCTGCTCCTGTGATGCTTCTTGGCCTGCTGTGTTCATCCAGCTCAAAACCTTGTTATCTCAGACTCTCCAGCATCAGCAGTTCCCACTATCTCCAAATCAATTTTAACCCCACTGCAAAGCCTCTTCTAAGGCCATCTACCTTGAAGGAGTTACCCTCCTCCCTCCAGAAAGACCTCAGTGGATCTCTCTCCCACTACAACCCTCTCGTAATCTCTTCTGCCCTGAAACTGCTCGACCACATCCTGAAGCAAACCAGGTACTACAGCCACATTGCCTTTCTTAATACCTGCCTACGGAACCAGATCATCACCAATGGACGACAGTCTACATTCAGGCCTTCCCAATTTGGCCCCAGCCGCGACAACCGCTATATACAGAACATTCAGATCCTTCAAAAACATTTCTCCCTGCGACTCCTCAAACACACACTCACAGCAATGCGCCAGCATCTCCTGGCACAACAATCAAGCCTACCCTAACTCAGAGCCTCCCTCTCCCAGGCCTGCAAAGGACCTCTCTTGTTTTTTATTATTCGCAGGATCTAGAACCTGAACTCACGATTCTACTCGGCTCTAACGGACACTAAAAATCGTAAATACACTAAACTTACTGGTGCCTGCTACCCAACACAGGCCTCTTCCCCCCATTTCTGAAGAAGGGTCTAGGCCCGAAACGGCAGCTTTCCTGCTCCTCTGATGCTGCTTAACCTACTGTGTTCATCCAGCTCTACACCTTGTTACCTCATTCTTAAACCTAACCAATAGCAAAAGAGACAAGAAACACTGCGCATGCTCCATTTCACGATGGTGCCCGGGTGATTGACAACGGACTCGGTCCAATAGGACCAGGGGAATCTGGAGGGCCGAATGGGCGCGGCCGGACTTCCAACCAATCGGAAAGGGAGAGGTGGGCATTGCAGTGGCACGTGACCAACCATGCACCCGGAATCCGCAAGCAGGCGCAGTGCCACTGTGAGTGACGTAACTGGGTGAATGCGGGGTTTGTAGGAGCTGGTCAAGGGAGCAGAGACAAATATATTATTAAAATAGTGTAGGTCAGTGTAGTCTGGGAGGTTTTATAATGACTTCTGTACAACTGTAGATCCCAAACGAAACATTCCGGTCATGCCTTTTTGCAGTAAACGGTAGAGGGGCTGCAGGCCTGCGGCGGCGAGAGCTCCAGTGTGTCGCCAATATCCCGCGGGTTTAGGGATGAATGGTCACTGTTTTGCATTGAAGACTGGGGGTGGGAAACGTTCACTTTTGCATTAGGCAAGGGGAGTGGGCGATGCAGTGTTCACAGCTTCGTATCAGGGTGTGAACAAGAATGTTTTTTGGGTTAAGGTACAGTAGGGTGCATGTGCTGCCTTTCTTTGGCGTAGCAAAGGGAATCCAGAGAAACATTTGTCTTTTCTATCAGTGATTGATTTTGTTTTCTAATCATGTTTTAGAGCGTATGATATGGGAAGGATTTGCAGACTCCAAACACAAATTGCCCAGTCACTCCTTTCTCCAGGATATGAATTTATTGTGGAAGGTAAATATTTTGTTTTCTCAATATGTAAGAAAAGATTTCAGGTATTGGTGTGGCTCTAAGTGTTCCGAAGTATTTGCAATACTGATTAGACCGTTCTGGAATATGTGTTCAGTTCTGTGAACCCCAGCTGGTTACTCCGCTAGAACCCAAAATAAAACAGAGAACGTTACCCCCCGCCAAGGAAGGACAACACATTTTGACCTAAGGAAGAGCACCGAGCAGATTTACCTCATTGATAATTTAACGCCTGGAGTCAAATAACCAGAACAAGTTAAGCAATTTAAAAAAAAACCATGCATTGTGGCACAGAAAGAGGCCATCTGGTCCATCAAATTCAACCTAGCTGTCTGTAGCACAATCCCAATGTCTCCCCACCTATCCCCGAAGCCCTGCAATTTTATTTCGTTCAGGTATCTCAGGATATAATTTTGTTCATCAATCAATCTACACAAACAGAAGTTACTGGAAAAGCTCAGCCAATCTGGCGGCATCCATGAAGAAAAATGAGAGTTAACCTTTCGGGCCAGAACTGAGGAAGGGTCACCAGACCCCGAATCATTGATTCTGATTTCTCTCCACAGATAATGTCCGACTTGCGGAGCTTTTCCAGCAACTGTTTCTGTTCCTAATTAACAGCATTAGCAGTTCTTTCAGAATACCCTAATAGGCAGCATGTTCTGTGTATTTCCAGCCAATTCAGTCAACAGAAACACTTGCTCATCTACCATTCTCAAAACCTTAAATCTGATCTTAATCCTTGTGCCATCACCTATTGGACACAGATTTTCTTATTGTCTACGATATCTAGATCTGTTATACTCTTGTACAGTTCTATCAAAAATATTTTTAACTTGTTTTCTTCAAGGAAAATAGCAATTTATCCAAATCAACCCTGTGGCTATATTTTCTTTGTCAATGAACCACTACAGTAAATCTGTACTCCACACTCTCAAGGGCCCTCATATCTTCCTGATCAGAATTGGATGCAAGGATTGACTGACCTAACCAGAGATTTATCAAGGGTCAGCATCTTTTTCATGAGTTTGTTCTCATTACCTCTGTTAATGAAGCCTGAGATCCCATACACTTTGCTAAATGCACTTTGATTATGTCCTCTCTCCTTTAAAGATTTATATATAGTAATCCCCCACTCCCACTATCACTGGTCTTTGCATCTGTGCCATTCAAATATATATTCCCTTTCCATGTTGCTTCTCTTAACATGCATCAACTCACTGTGTGTTGTAAAGAACAGATGTGTTCTGCTCAAAATATTAACTGTCACTCCACAATTTCTGCCACAAAGAAAGCAGAACAGTACAACACCGGAAGAAGCTCTTTGGCCCACCATGCCTGTGCTAACCAGGATGTCATGATAAACTAACTCCATCTGCCTGTACAGGATTCCTGTCCATCTATTCCCTGCCTGTTCATCTGTCTGTCCAAATGCCTCATAAACATTGTGATTGTACTTTCCTGGTAGAAGCAAAAATATTGTGGCCACCTACCACCTTCTGCATAAAAAACCTGCCTTACACAACTCCTTTAAACTTTTCCCTTCTCACCTTAACCCTATGACCCCTAGAATTTGTCATTTCCACCCTAAGAAAAAGGCTCAGACTATCCACTTTCTGCCTTTTGGTCCGCCCTCAGCGCCTCTAGTAATAACAATCCAAGTTTGTCCAACCTCTCCTAATCCACTTCGATCCAGGCAACCACCTGGTAAACATCTTTTTCATCCTCTCCAAAGCCTCCACATCCTTCCTCTAATGTGGCGATCAAAACTGCACACAGTACTCCAAATGTGGCTGAATTACAGTTTTATACTCAGTCCGCTGACTGAAGAGAGCAAGCATGCCATACACCCCCTTTACCACTTCATGCACCAATGTTGCCACTTTCACGGAGCTGTGAACTTGCACCTGAAGATCTGACTATATCAATGCTCCTAAGAGTCCTGCCATTTACTGTATATATTCCTCTTGCAATTGGCCTCCTAAAATGCATCATCACACACTTGTCTGAATTAAACTCCATCTGCAATTTCTCCCCACAACTTTCCAACTGATCTATACCCTACTGTATCTATACCCTACTTCAGCCATTTTAGTGTCATCTGCAAACATGCCAATCAAACCATCTACATTTTTGTGCTAGTCATTTATATATATTAAAAACAACAGAGGTCCCAGCTCTGATCCTTGTGGAAGAGCACTGGCCCCTGGCCTCCAGTCAGAAAAATACCCTGCACAACTGTTGACAGGAGAAATATCAAAAAGGAGTCTTGACTTCTGTGTTCAGCAGCACGAACGATCTTAATGCAGAGCTCCTTCCCAATGCATTGTGGGAGAGGAGAGGTCCCTTTCTGAAACTCTCTGACTTCCCCCCAGCTGTGTACAATGTTTTTATACATTTCTCGTTACAATAATAACATGCAACCTTGGTATAATTATTAGCCACACTTCCCTGGCCTATACATCCAATCCAGTAAACATATGGTCAATGATAGACAACTCTATGGACAGCTCTAGGTCGTCCCATAATCTGATATTTACCTTTATGATTGGAATACCTGCTGTTAAACCGCATTTCAATCCTGACAGTTTTATATTCCTTCCCAAACATTTACCAGCTGCACCACATTAGTTATCAACAATCTGGATACTTCCTTATCACTGAGGACTCTCCCAAATTCTATATTGGACTTTATATTCCCTATTAACCTGAGGTACATAAGATTAGAAATGATATGAATTTCTACTAATTATCATAAATACTTTAAAATAAACTCTTAATATAAATTACTACAATTCTGTAACACAGCTGACAGATTGGGAACAGGCCGTCTCTCACTTGAGCCTGAGAAATCAAGCAAACAGTCTCTCTGACTCGTAGTTCAGTTACAACCCACAGTACTCACATGCTGCCAGTAGGTTTTGCACCAGAGTTTAATTCTTGGATAAATCTTCACCGTCTCTTCTCTAAAGACTTTACATCACTAATTTTCTTTACTTAGTAAGACAGCATCTATTCGAATTCCACAGACGAGGGTGAAATTCAATCACTTTACAATCTTACAATGTCATTATACACAGATCTCCCTTTCCCAGTCTCTGATTCTCTCTCCATCTGCAACTTGCCCTCTCGGCTCATGCAGCTACTTTGCCAGCTCCTTCACAAATTGTTTAACATTATCCCTGCGATTGCATATCTCCGGTCCTCCCACTGCCATGCCCTCCGGCATCTGCATATTCTGTCCGGTCACTAATTCAAAGGGGGCCAACCCTGTTACCTTTGCTAGGGTTGACGTCGGTTTCATTAGGATGGCAGGGAGTACTCTAATCCATCCATACCCTGTCTCTGTTAGGGCCTCAGTCAGGCTAGCTTTCAGTGTCCAGATCATTCGTTCTACCGTTCCTGAACTTTGGCGTTGGTATGAGTGATGGAATTTCTGTTCAATACGTAACAAGGTGCATAACTGCTTAATTACTTTCCCTGTAAAATGTGTCCTTTGGTCAGAATCTACAGGGGAATGCTTCCACCATGGAGTAAACCTGTCTGTTAAGACCCAGCAGGATTTCTTTCCCTGGGATTGGGGTAGGAAGCCCATAAAATTCATCTGCAATAGCTCCCATGGGCCTCTGGGTCTTGACTGGTGGCTCCATTTTATCTTGATTGTTTTCCCTGGCTTGCACTGACAGAAATTTGTGATATCTCTCCCTATTTCAGGCCACCCCCTGCAGTAGGTCATCTGATACTGCATTTTATCTCACCCAATATGTGCCAGTCCATGATATGATTTTAATAATGTTTGTCTTGTACAGTGTAGTGTCACTGCCTGAGTCTGCATCTTCCAAACTCTGTCTTGTCCTCTCATTGCTCCACCCTTTTCCCATTCCTGTTTCTCCTCTTGTAAGGCTGTTTGTTGGAGTATCTTTAAACTTTCTTCCTGCTTGTGTAACTACTGCCACTTCCTAAATGTCTGAGATAACAAGGTGTAGAGCTGGATGAACACAGCAGGCCAAGCAGCATCAGAGGAGCAGGAAAGCTGACGTTTCGGGCCTAGACCCTTCTTCAGAAA